CCGTGTTTTTAGACATGATGCGCGTTCTCTTCCTGCTCAGGGCCCCGTCTTTCCTGTCCGACAATTTGGAACAGCGCGCGTCGACGTCGACTGGGATTAAAAGATTCAGAAGGCCCTCGGACCAAAAGGAAGCTCCGACGGGGTGCTTAAAGGCAAAGGGTCTCTACCTGTGCAGACCTGGTCCATGGCAATCATGACGGCAGAAAAAATAACGGTTCCTTTCCTTCCCGCGGTCTCGTCGCCCGTTCGGCCGGGCCGATTTGCATCCGCGGCAACGGCTGAATCGCGCTGGTGACGGTGCAAAGTAGGCGCCACATGAGAATCTCGGGTCGCAGCCCTCCGACATGCACAGAGCCTGAGACCAGTGAGAACCCCCCCCGAGGTCCCATCCCATTCGGCGGCCCAGACCCCGCAGGGACTGGACCCCCGGCCCCCATCCAAAAGTGGGCCGCCCTGGAGGGGGGAGAGAAGGAGACAGACTGACAGACAGAAAGAGAGGGAGAGAGAGAGAGAGAGAAAACAACAAAAACAAAAAAAGAGAAAGAGAGAGAGAGAGACAGAGAGAGAGAGAAAGGAAAGAGAGAGAGAGAGAGAGAGATAGAGAGAGAGAGGGAGAAAGACAGACATGCAGACAGACAGAAAGACGCAGAGAGAGAGAGAGAGAAACAAAAAGAGAGAAACAAACACTAATAAAGAACCATAAAATCAACCAGTCCCGTGAAACATCGATCGACAAGCTCTCTCCACCTCCCGCTCGGACACGCGCGCATGGCACGATTCAGTGCTGCCCCGCTGCCCCACCGAGGTGAGAGACGGCGAAGATGGCGCATCACCTTGGGGCGCCGGCCCCGACGAGTGGTTGGGCCCGAGGCCCCGAAGCTTTGGGCATGCTGGATAAGCGCCCGCGTCTGGTCGCTGCAGTTGACCAGGCACCTCTGATGCCGTCGAATGACTGGCCCCAATGTCGCCCCGCAACATTTCTCCAGGATCCCTGGCCACATTCTGGACAGCAAATTGCAACATGCCATTCTCCGTCGAGCGATCCCTCGGGGCTGGCCGCGCAAACCCCGCGGGGGCCCTGGGTGGCACTGGCGATTTTCTGGGCGGCCTCTTTCGCCCGCTGACCTCGCTCGCCAGAACAATGGGGCACGTCGAACACTTGCGTGGGGCATGTTCTCAACTCGCTGGAACCAACCAGCTGGAACTCCAAGGCTAGATGACTCATCAGATCAGGTTCTGGGCGAGGACTGCTCGGCCCAGATCGCGGGCCCGTCGGCGATCTGCCGCGCTGGCGCCGCCTCGACACTCGGGCCGACCAGGGCGCGATGTCCAGGATCCGCCCCGACATGAAACTCGCCTTCTCCGCCCACTGCCTCGTCACTCCTGCATGGGGGCACGAGATCGAGCGTCGCCGGCCCGTCGGGGGCAGTCGCCTCGACCTGCTGCATCCGAACTGTTCGATCGCGGAGAGGCGTGGAATGTTCTGCCAGCCGCCCGGCATAGCACTCGGGCTGGCAGCGGCCCCCATAGCCGACAAGGACTCGGTCGCGCCGCCTGCGAGCACGTGGGTGCGATTGCGAGCGTGACTCTGGATGCGCTGGATAGATGCCTGTTGGCACGCAAGAGCTGCGCCCTGGGTCGCCATATGTCCCTGGGCCTGCTCGAGCATTCCAAGGTCTTCTCCTGCGTCTTCAGGGTGTCCTGATGGGTCCTCATCCTGCTCTAAGGCGGGGCGCCCTCGCCGCCTGGGGACCTGGCCCACCTCCGCGTGGTCATGCTTCGTCATCGGCGGACCTGGCCCGGAGCCTCGCGCTGTCGATGGCACGAGCGGCCCCGCCGAGCCCCGCTGCTGCGCCGCCTCCGCGGACTCGAGGACGCCCTTGGCTGGCCCGCGGGAGCTGGGACACGCCGGCGCCGCGAGCGCGGGCGCTGCGCCTGCTCCACCTCGCGCGGCGATTGCCCGGCTGCGTTTCCTGGTTGAGCGACGTCGGCACCTCGCCCGCTCCCGGTTGGAGGCGCGGGCACTCTTGCGCCAGCCCTGTGGGCAGAGGGTCGGGGGCGCTCATCCGCGACAAGTTGACCCCTGGAGGTCCTTTCGCGCCGCCGCGACGCTGGCCGCCGCGCCCCGTCGAGAAATCTTTTCTGCGACCCCCCCAGCATCGGCTGGGCGGCCACTATCTCAGGCCCCGTCGCCTCCGAACCCATCGTGCCGGAGAGAACGGCCAACCCGATCGGCGTCGTGAAAGTCGCGCGCCAACTTGTCTGAGCCGGCGGCGGCGGATGGGTCGCGAGCGGGAGTCGGGGGCCCTCCGGATAGCTCCCTGGGGGACTGTCTAGAACGGACGTGCTCGATGGTGCGGCGCTGTCCTCTGCGGCATTGGGCCCATGTCCTGACGCGCGGGGCGCGCGCCCTCGCCCCTCGGCGCTTCGCCCGGCGGTTCCGCGACAGATTCGCAGCCCCGGGTCTCTCTCCCATCCCCCTCCTCCTCTTCCTCCCCCTCCCCCTCCTCCTCCTCCTCCTCCTCCTCCTCCTCCACTTCCTCTCAGCTGGCTCTTGACCTCATCGATTGAAACCCTTGGCCCCTGGGTCGTTCGCGCCGCGCTCCGCTATGTCGGGCCATGGCGGTGTCTGACTTCTGCTGGCGCTGCTCGCGCAATCCGTCGGCGCTGGCGACTGTCCTCGCGGTTCGACGCCCTCCTGCGCCGTCGCCGGCTAGGATGGCGCCCCTTTGGCCCCTCGGCTGCCCTCCTAGCAACTGCCCGACCCCCCCCCCGCCGCCGGTCGCATCGGGGCGGGCCGTGCACCTGGGAGAAAGGCACGGGCCCCCCGCCGCCAAGTCATACGCAGCGGCGCTGGCCAGCGGCACTTCAAACTCCCCGGGCGGGCCCGGGCGACCGACGCCAGCGACTCCGCTGCCGCCGGGCAGCCTCTCGAAGGCGCCTCGGCCCCGAGCATGGCGGACTGGGCGCGGCCCCGGGGGGAATCTACAGCGGCCAGCAGTGGCGCTTCCTACGCGCCCGCCAACATGAGTGCCGGCTGTTCTCGATTGCCTCGCACCTCCACGGCCCTGCAGGCCTCGGAGCGCAAGTGCGCGCGACGCCGCTGGGTGGCGGCCCCCTACTCTCCTCGCCAGAGCGCCGCCACTCTCTGCGCTAAACTCGCGGCGCCCCCAGTTCCCCCATGTCTGTCTCCAAGCAACCCGGGGGGGCCGGGCCCCCGAGGCCCCAGAGGGCCGCGGGGGGCCCCCTCGCGGCGTCGGACTGCGTCGCTGAGCGCGGCCAAGACCAACCCCGACGCAGCGGCACTTGAACCAGTCAGGAAGAAAAGCCTGGACACCTGCGACCGCGTGTTCCGTGGGCCTGCCCTGCATCAGCGCCCTGTCTCACCGCGTTTCTTGCGCTTCGTGGCTGTCGTCAGCTGCTCGACGCCCGGGCGTTCGCCGTCGCCCGCCGCCCCCCGCCGCCGGGCGGCCTGGCTCGGGGCCTCCGGCGGGATGAGAGGGGGGCGGAAAGAACTTCAGATCAGCTCTCATCTCTCGCTTCGCGCTCTTGTTCTCCAAGTCCCCCCCCCCCCCCTCCTGCTGGAGCGCAGCGCGCGCCGCGGGCGCCGTCCTCTCCGATGTCTGCCGCGCCCGCGCGCGGCAGCATCGCATTCTCCATGTCCGTGTCTACCGCGAGCTCCGACTCCGCGCCCTGGTCTCGGAGTGCGTCGTCGAGGACACGTCGACGCTCTCGCCCAAATATGCACGTGCTGCGCGGCTGCTATGCGCGGGGTTATTCCGTCCGAGCTTGGTCCAGCTCTCGAATGGCATTCTGTAGGTCGTCGCACTCGCCCGAGCTGCGCGCAAGCACTCTCAGCAGTTGTTTCACATTGTCGCATGGGTTCGCCCCCTCCTCCATGAAGAGGTGCGTCCACTTCTCTGGGATAAACAGGCCTTGCGCTCGGAATTCATGTCGAACGGCTGCTCCATGCGCAGCACGTACGTGGGAAGAGTCCCCCGGCCTTGCGCTGCAGCCGGAGAAATATTCCCGCGCTGCCCAGCGATCCCCGTCGTCTACTCTCTCGCCGGACATCACCTCAAGCTCTTCAGGATCGTGTCCGGGCCGGGCGGGAGGGCCATGACCTCGTCGCTGGCGTCCTCCATCTTGCGCTGTAGGTCGTGACCCAACACCTTCAACAGCCGATCCGAGCGTTTCGTCACGGAGGCGTCGGTGCTAGCCACCCAGCGCGGCAACCTCCAACGCCAGATGCGGAAGTCCTCCGATCTCTCCCAGGGGTCGGCGTCTGAGTGATCAGGCTTGGACCAGGACCTCTCCATTTAACAACAATGTGGCTGAACCCAAGCTTCTCGCGAAAGTTCCAGCCGCACCCTGTCCCTGGCGTCGCCGGCGTCTCTGACTCTGGCTGACGCTTGCCCACCACCTGCTGCATGTGACCACGCAGCTCGTCCTTCAGTTCCTGGACTGGCGACGGCTGTTGTCTCCGATCGTCTGGGACAGGGTCGCCAGCTGCTGCTCTGAGAATCCACAGCTATCTTTGTCGTTGCCGCCTCCGTTGGCGTCGACAAAGATATTTTGTCCCCGAACCTGCTCCTTTCGGCCTTCAAACCCCACCGTTACGTCGGCCGTTGCCCTGGCTGTTGCGCGAGGACATCGGTACACCGAACCTGCGGAGAACCATGGTTCCCGCCAGCACTGACACGCCAACATTAGCAACGGCACCGAGGCACCGAGCAGTGATGGGATGAGGGACAGAACACATGTCCAGAACACAAGGGGTGCCGTAGAGCCATCACGGATACGAAAGCACATGCGTCTACCCTACAATCAAACATCAAACAGTTTAAGTTTATACAGCTGTATTCCTCTCCCTTCTCGTCCTCCTCCTCCTCCTCCTCCTCGTCCCTTCCTTTTCCTCGTCTCCTCCGCCCCCAACCGCGCGCGCCCCCGCCGCCGCTGCCGGCCAGCGGCGCCTCGTGCTCGCGCGCGGGGGGCGGGGCGCGATCCCGGGCCGGCGCAGAGGGCGAAGATGCACTGCGCGTAGGCGCTCTTGTCCTCGTAGCCTCAGGCCGGGAATGTCCCCTTATCAGGCGGACTCGGGGCGAAAAAGAAGCACAGCCGAACGTGCTATAGACTACTGAAACGAATCGTAGAACAAGCGTTCCCAGACAGTTCTTGGTTGTTTCAGTGAAAAATATTGTTGAGTGGTCCTCCTGTGCGAGGGACAGGCCTGAATTAATCGTAGCTTCTGCGCGCGCGCCCCTCCAGGGAGGGCGGG